GAATCACTCACGGTTTGTATGCAGCTTGAAAAATCGACGAATTTCCGTCTTAAGTACGGTCGCCAAACACCAAATAGAATGCAATATTTAATTCAATTTTGAAGTTTGTATAAAAGAACAGGAACGCAAATAAAACAGCTATCTCCAACCTCGCTGACGCTTCGACATTTTGCCATCGTCGTCGTCGCCGCCAAGCCGCCACCATGCTCGTCCATGAATTCCACATCCCGCTGCACATGACGGTCGACGAGTTCCAAGTCGCGCAGCTCTACATGGTGGTCGACGCCAGCGAGAAGAACACCAAGGGCGGCGAAGGCGTCGAGATCCTCAAGAACGAGCCGTACGACAACACGAACGGCCAGCTCGGCGACGTCTCGGCGATCTCCAACTGCAAGATCCCGCGCAACCGCGGCCAGTACACGCTCAAGCACTACTACGTCAAGAGCGAGATCCCGGGCTACATTAGCGCGCTGTAGGCCACGCCCGTGACAGGCCATGAGCTCATTTCGACACGTAGCTGCCCCGAGGACAGCATGACGCTCATTGAAGAAGCATGGAACGCGTACCCGCACTGCCTGACCGTCATCACCAACGGCTATTTGGCGAAGAAGAAGTTTTCCATCTCGATCGAGTCGCTGCACGTGCCCGGCGCGACCGTCGCTGGTACACTTCCTCGACATCCTGTTGTGCTGGCTCATCGATGGCGTAGCCAACGCACTTAACTTGACCAAGGACGAGCTCAAGAACCGCGAAGTCGAGCTGTACGACACGAGCACGTATACGATTGACGTGCTCATGGACTGTCTAGGATTCGCATCGAGTCGGATTTGCCCAACCAAAACTCGGACGACGACTACGATCCCTCGACGGTACAGCGCCGCTATGCATCGCAGTGCTTGCTCACAGGATATATGTAGTATGTCTGCCCCAAGACGGGCCGTGGCCCGCTCGAGCGTGGCTGGGAAACCAAGGTCGACCCCGTCATGACGTGCGTCAAGGTCGTTCGCGTCAACTTTGACTACTGGGGCTTCCAAGGCAAGGCCGAAAAGTTCATCCGCGACCGCCAGCGCCGCCTCTTCCACGCCTCGCTGCGCCAGGTACTACCTTTCGTCGCCCTACAGCAGGCTCATGGCATTGTCCTTAGGCCCAGTGTCTCTCGGGCAAGTGGTTTGGCCTCACCATGGAGGACATTCGCGCTCTCGAAGCCAACATCCAGCAAAAGCTCATTGCGCAGCGCACGGCGCAATAGATATCAGAGTTTTCGCTAGTACGTTGATATACTGTTTTGCTAATAGAGTCTATCTAGTCGTAGACAACTTGTATTTTACAGACAACTTGTATCTAGTCGGTCTAAGGTGAGAGCTGATCGCCATGGCGTCGAAACCTGCGACACTTGATACCCGATATCCAATCTTGGAGGTGGCAGAAAAGATTTTTGCTCGGCAAGCATCATGCGCTTCTCGTGGACCAAGTTCATGAGCTACGTGGGGCCCGGTTGGCTCGTGAGCATGGCCTACATTGGCCCATCGAGCCTCGAGGTGCGGCTGCAGGCCGGCGCGTACACCAACTTTGACGTGCTCGGCGTGCTCATGCTGAGCCTCGGCGTCGGCTTCTTCTTCCAAGTGCTCGCCGCCCGCCTCGGCGCGGTCACGGGCCGCAGCCTCTCGGAGCACTGCAGCGCCGAGTACCCACGACCAGTTTCGCTCGTGCTCTGGCTTGTGGCGGAGGCGGCGATCATTGGTAGCGACGTGCATGAGATCCTCGGGTACGACCTTGGCATCATCCCACGTCGTTTTTCGTAGCCCTATAGATCGGCGCTTGCATTGTATGTACTCACGGGCATCCCTCTCTGGAGCGGCTGCCTCGTCATTGGCTGTGCGACCTTTGCCTTCCTCTCGCTGCACGTGCTAGGCGTCCGCTACGTCGAGGCCTTCTTCACGGGTGCGCTCTCGACGTTCGTCTCGCATGAGAACTCAATGCACATGGCTAGTGCTGCTTCTGGCCATGGGCCTGTGCTTTGTGGTCGACTTTGGCCTGGTCAAAGTCGACTGGGCCGACGCTATTGGCAGCGTCGTACCGCTCATCACCGACGTCAACGCGCGCCAGGCCATGAACACGCTAAGCCCGGCCGTCGTGCCACACAACCTCTTTCTGCACTCGGCGCTCGTCGCCCTCCGACCGCTCAACCGCCAGCAGCGCTCCGCCGTGCGCGCTGCGACCTTGTACGCGTCGGTCGAGGTCGGCATCGCGCTCTGCACCATCTTGGTCATCAACGTGGCGGTGCTCGGGCTCTTTGCCGACGCCTTCTACGCCGCCCCGTGCTCGGTCTTGCCGGTAGCAGCGTTGCCTCGTCACTGCGTTTGCACGCTCGTTCGTAGGATCAATCGGCCTGTCTCCCGCCCGCCACGGCCCTCTTCTCGGGCTCACCCGTGTACAACTACTACTCGCTCGCGCCATGCCTCGTGCTCAACCACACGGTGAGCGACGACTGCCCGCGCTGCGCCATGGGGCACACCCAAGTACGTTATATCCATCGTCTTGGTGCCATGAGCAACGACTACGTCTGCAGATGTACGGCTACTGCCAACCGTTGGGGCTCGTTGATGCGGGCAGCGCCCTGCGGGACACCTTGGGCGGCCCGGCCGCCCATGCGTGGGCCATCGCTCTCCTTGCAGCAGGACAAGCAAGCACGATGACGGCCACGTACGCCGGCCAGTTTGTCATGGAAGGCTTCGTGCCGCTGCGCTTGCCGGCGTGGAAGCGCATTGCACTCACACGCGTACTGGCGCTCCTTCCGGCGGTGCGCCATTCTGCAATGTGCATCTCGTTTGAGGATCATGGTGCGTAGGTGATGCTCGCCGTGTCGGCGCTCGACAAGGGCGAGCTGGACCATACGTGGCTGCACGTCGTGCAGAGCCTCGCCTTGCCGCTTTCGCTCTTGCCGCTCGTGACGCTCACGAGTTCCCGCCGCATCATGGGCAAACACTTTGTCAACGGCGCGCGCACGCGTACGGCGGCCATCGTGCTCGCCGCTGTGCTCTGCATCCTCAACTTGTACGACGTCGGGTCTGCGATGGCCGCGATGCTCTGGACGTCGGCGAGGTACACAGCGCACGTCCACAGTGCATGCGCGAGCCTGTCTGCGTAGAACGTATGCGACGACGGGCGCGGTGGTTGCATATGGGATCGTTCTGCTGTACATTGGCCTCATTGCGCCGCTCTGCGCGTGGCGGGCGGCAAGTGTCGAGGCGCCCGACGCGATCCTCGAGTCGCTTCTCGATGCCGACGACGACGACGACGCGGCGTGAGATCAGAAAAGTTGAGTGTCGTACAAATGCAGATTACAAGGTGCCTTGGGTCAAGTACTGGACGAGCAACCGCTCGAGGTTGTCGACCTTGGGCGTCGACGGTCGGTCGAGCGCGTACCCGAGAAAGCAGCGGGCAAAGACCGGCGCTACGTACAGTGTCGTCGCTACAGTATCATCGGCACGCCAAGCGTACCGAGAGTGGAGGCATGCAGGTGGTTCTCGCTCCCAAACTTGAGGAGCTCCCGTAAGAACGAGAGCAGGTAGATGAACGTGTTGTAGTGGATCGGCGTCAGCGCATCCACAATGGACCGCGGGCTCTCGAGGTTGAGCACTTGCTCGGGCAGGACGCTCTCCCGGAGGGTTTGGAGCCAATGCAGCAAGACACCGGCCATGGCCTGCGGACTAGCCCCCAAAATGTGAGCGCTCACGATCGACCATAGGCGGACGCACCGGTGCGGGTGGAACGCGGTACCAGCGTCCAGAGCATCGCGAATGCCCGTGGTCTCGGCGTCTTTGAGCGGGTTGGCCAAAAACAACTCGGGCGTGCGCAGGCCGTGGGTGAAGAGGTCGTCGACCATGCGCCAGAGCTCTTTCGGGATCTTTTGGACGCTCGTCACGTCGCGCTTGATCGCAACCTGCTTGCGCACGGGCTCCAGGCGTACGACAAGCTGCTCCAACGTTGCGCCAAAGCAGGTACTAGGCACTGGGTGAGACACGGAAAGGCCAAAGACGAAGAAGGGTACGGTAAGAACGAGCCCGAGACGACGAGGAAGTGGTCGGCACCGTTGGCGACGCGCAAGACGAGGGTGTCGTCGAGCGTGTCTTGGCCGCTCGAGAGGAGATGCACCGTGTGATGCGACACAAGCACCGTAAACTGCAGCTGGACGCGCTCCTTGGGGGCGAGGACGCCGTACGCGGGCGAGACGCTCAGCCAGCTCTACGTTTCGACTTGAGATGTAGGTATCAGGATGGTCGTACCTTGGAGATTGCGGGTTCGTGGAGCTTGGGGGTGAATTTGAAGTGTGCGGGCACCACGCCGACGTTTTCGAGCGTAAACGACTTGGTCTGCGGCACGAGGTACGTCACATGCTCGAACTCCATGAGCCCGCCGTCCGAGACGAGGATCTATACGCGTTGATAGCGAGGCCAAGACGATCGTCCGTACCTTGGGTTTGTTGTTGGACTCCCACTTGTCAAAGTCGCGGCTCACTTCGCGCTGGACGACCTCCTTCTTGGCCTCGACTTCATGCTGGATCTACTCATTCTCTTTGCTTAGCGACCGATGTGGACTCGGGCAGAGAAAGAATGACCTTGGCTTGGAAGGTGGCGGCGACGGGCTTGTGGTCCGAGATGTCGATCTCCATGACTGTGCCATAGTACAACTGCCGCACGGCCGACGGGTCCTTGGCCTTCCAGAGCACGCGGTCGCACCTAGCTGTGTGTGACGAACGCAAGCATCTTCGGCGAACGGACCACGCCGGTGCGCGCACTTTCTTGTCGGGCCGACGGTCGTAGAACGACGTGCCGGCTTGAAACTTGTACGTGGGCGGGAACGTGATGGCGCCTTCTTGGAAGCCTTGGAAGACGTTGCCCTTGGCGACCTCGAGCAAGAGCTAATGGCATGTGACGCGTCCGCTGCGTCGTCGGACCCAGGCACATACCTGCTCTCGGGCGAGGAGGTACTCCAAGTTGCGCTTCTCAACGTGAAGAAAGCAGTCTTCGATCGTCAAGCTGCTGTCTTCGACGAGCCGGTAGTTGAGATCGCCGATCCAAAAAATGAAATCGTGGTTGGCAATGCCAAGCCCGACGTGGTGGCCCGCTGTCGGCGACGGCAAGAGCTCTTGGAGGCTATAGATGACGTTGATGAGGCGCTGCTTGGACAAGAAGCGTACCCGTCGTCGGCGTCGCGAAACTCGATTTTGTGCAGAATGTTGGCAAAGTCGGCGTTGCGCCCAGACACGTTGTGCGTGTGGGCTGCGAGATGCGAGCAGACAAAGCAGAGCGTGCTGTCGTAGAGCCGAAGGCGCACGGCGACGCCGCCCTTGTTGCCCTACACGCGCCATGAGGTACGGCGTGAAAAGGCGGAAGAGGTACCATGACGCCCATGATGCCCACGCCGGCGGTTGCGCCCATGACGTCCGAGACAAATGGCACGTGCTCGCGCTTGACAAAGACGATGAGGAGGATGCCCACGAGGTGCTTGTGCAGCACGACGTCGTAATTGTCGTTGGACATGTGGCCATTGAGCGCGGCCGAGAGCGACTCTTCCCACTGCTGGCTGCGCGTCGCCGTCATGTTGTTGACAACGACGTTGACCGCGTTGAGATCAACGATTTCCTGAAACCCGACGGCGACGACGTCCGGGAGACTGCGCGTCGGCTGGAGCCATGGCAAGAGCTTCATGGCCTCGGCGACCGAGACGGGCTTCTTGGCGTTGACGTTGAAGGTGCCCGCCCAGAGCGCGATCTCCTTCTCCTCCATGTACTCGGAGGCCCGCTGGCGCATGCGCTGGTGGATCCAGTCGTCGCGGAGCATGGACTGGACCGTCGGGATGTAGCAGCGCCCGTTCGTCTGCTGCTGCATGTCGCTGCTCCCGCTGCCCGACGACCGACCCGAGAAGCTCATCTTCGTCAACGCAGTCACCGACTGCGTGAAAACCGTTTTGGATGTATTCCGGATACGAGAGTCATATCCGGAAAACAAAGATATCGCCGGCCGCATCTCCCAAGCAAAAAGTGAAAAAGTAGATAAGCAGTGAGAACCAAAGACGGCTTCCCTTGGAATCGCAAATTGTCTTGTGCGAATCACCCAAAAATACGAAATCAAGTTGTTGAACGCGAGCGGAAATGGCGCTGGATGCGAGTCGTGGTTCATCGACCCTGGCCAAGGATCAGGGTCAAGTCCAGTGGTCATGAGATGGCCTCCGACGAAGCTCGGAGGCAGATGCATGCTATTGGTATCTTCGCTTGAGGCCAGGCGAGTTGATTGGTCATGGCTCGATCGCTACGATACCTCGACAGGTTGGGGTGCGACGAGTGTAAACGTAGCCTTGGGTTATCGCCCCAGTACGTATGCGAACTATGCTATCGAGCTCCAGTCATGACTGAGCTCAAGCCGTGATCGTGTCGCCAGCATCGCAGGGCTGGTCGGCGCGTTCGGGGCGCTGGACTCACAAGTAATCGCTCCACCTAATCTTGTCTATCGCTACGTACAGTCATGTCTGCTCGTGCGGACCGGTGGTCTGGTATCGACCATATTGATCTTCTCGCAGCCGAGCAAAGGTAGCCAAGCTTCGTAGGCCGTGCCAACGCGCCAACGGCGACGGCAATGCTTCAATCGCTCTCAAACAGTGTATGCGCCTGTCCAATCCACTGTTTCCAATCCGCCAATCCAATCACACGACGCTAGTGAGAGATGTTTTCGCATATTTTACATTTACAAATACTAGAGATGCTCTATCAATAGTAAACCCAAGAGGAAACCATGCCATTGAAGCGCGATAGAAAGTGCATTTTGGCGGGGCCAATGAATTGCAAGCAACACCATGGCAGCGGTGCCAGCTACGCCCGACGTCCTTGGCGACGTGTACGAGCCGGCCGAAGACACATACCTTTTCCTTGACGCGATCCAAGACGAGACGCCTTTCCTCGCCGACCTACGTCCTTCGCTCGTGCTGGAGCTCGGCCCGGGCTCGGGCGTCGTGGGTGTCTACACGATGCAGCAGCTTGCGTCGATCGACCAGCCCGCGCTGCTCTTGGCGGTCGACATCAACGACGAAGCGACCGCATGTACAAAGGCAACCGCGCGCCTCAATGCCATCCACAACATTGAGATTGTGCGCATGGACCTCCTTACGCAACTGCAGCTGCGCCACCAAGTCGATGTGCTCCTCTTCAACCCGCCGTATGTCCCGACGCCGTCCGAAGAAGTCGGCTCCACGTACTGCACCACTCGCTTTGAATGGTTTTATAAAGACGCTGGGTAGGGGCATTGAGGCAGCGTGGGCCGGCGGCTTGCACGGGCGCGAAGTCATTGACCGGCTTCTGCCCCTCGTCCAGGTATCATTGGCATTCGCACAAGGCCAAACAATCGATTGTACTAGCACCTCCTGTCCCCCGTCGGCGTCTTTTACATGGTCATTGTGGCCGAGAACCGACCAAAAGACATTGCGCGGATCATGGCAGCCAACGGCTTTTCCACGACCGTAGAGATCCCCACGCTAACCTGCACCCTCATGGACGTTGTAGGTCGTGCGGTCGCGCCAAGCGTTCAACGAACGCCTCTCGATTCTTAAATTTGCGCGGCAGCCCATCCAAGAGGTCGTGGCCGAGGCGTAAGCTCTATAACAAAGCTCTTTGGATCCCACATACGTCCTATTGAGGAGATTTCAGTATGCTCCATCCTGAGAGCATTGATGCAGGCCTAGGGCCTGGCCATGATTCTTGGCGTCTTGGCTATCCCGTGCTTGGCATGCCAGATTTAGCCGCCGTCAAGGGCTTAGTTTTGGACTGGAGTGTTTTTCCATCGCAAAATGTTCCGCTCTTTACTTGTCGCTTCGATTTCCGCTCGTTTCTGTGGACAAAAACACAATTTCCACGTAGTATTATTGCATCGAATAGCGTTTTTACGGGTAGCCAAAGGGCTTGAAGAGGTAGACCGACTCGAAACCGGGGTAGTGTGACGCGGACGGCGGGTGGTTGTACAAAATATTCTCAAACTCAATCTCAAACGACGGGAACGCATGCGCGTTTTTCTTGGCCTCGCCAATGAAAAAGTGCGCAAACGCTTGGGCAGCGAGGAGCGACGGGGACGAGTGGTCAATGTCGCCATAGAACGCCCCGGACGGCAGCCGGCCAAACTCATACGGGTTCTTCTCCGGGTGGAACTGGAGACCGTAGAAGGGAAACTCGATGGCTTCGATCGCACTCACGTACGTCACGCCTTGGCGATCGAGCGACGTGGCGAGCGCCTACACGATATTATTGTCGCAAAGTCCTTCATCCCGAGGTATTAGTACCTTGAAGAAGGCCGTGAGACTTGGTGTCGCATCAAAGTGCGTTTTTGTGATGCCGTAGTGGTGAAAGTTGGCTGTGAGCGGCGAGGTCGTGAGCGCGTCGTAGTAGCGGCTGTAGCTAAAGAGCCGGCTCGAGGCCGCGCTTGGGGTGTACGATATGGTCGAGCTAATGTTTTGCGCGTCCACCTTGTCGAGGATCCCATTGTCGCCAGCCGTCAGTTGCACGAGCCACTCGAACCCGAGGCACGTGCCCCACACTGGGAAGTACGTGCCGTTTCGGTTGATAGCAATCGCAGACTCGAGGAGGAACTTTGCTTGCGCGTTGGGCGACGGATCGCCCCCGGGGAAGAGGAGGCCGTTGACACTCGAGAGAAGACGCGTCAGCTCCGACTCGGACGCCGTGAACGGAATGCGCACGGCGCGTCCACCAGCGCTCTCGATCCACTTGATGTACGACGCCGCAATGTACTCGTACGGCCCGCCCTCGCTCGGGTTGGTCGTCGGGTGCGAGAAGACGCCAATGATTGGGTTCGGTGTCAAGATAGGACTTGTCTGCGCGAGCTCAATCGGCGCAATAGGCGTCGTGGTTGTGCTGGCGACGGCAAGCAAGCAGCCGACGGCGAGGCCCAGTGCGACCACGAGCCGTCTCGTACGCGACGACGTCGGCTTGGCCTTGGGCAGGATCGGGACGGTGGCGGCGTCGACCATCTTGGAGGCACGCAAACTCAAAATGAACCAGAGAGTGCGATCTTATTTCGACGGCCAAGCGGCGGCGTTGGTTCCGAGGGGGCTTCTGAGAGGCTACCCACATGCCAATCAAAACGTGGAACGCTGTGTGATCAGCGGGTGCGTTCTTGAGCTTCAACCTCGGACCGAAATCTAGACGCAAAAAGACAAGTTTGACAAAATGGGGTGCAATTGCGTCGGTGATATATAGGAGAATACCCTCTTTTGACGCAACTTGCGGGCGCGAGCGGTACACTGCAGCAACTGAGCCTTCGTTCGCACAAGATGAAGGCTGTACGTTGTGGGGATAAGAGGCTTGTGAAGCCTTCGCTACTGACTGGAGGCGCGCTTCGTGTACTCAGTATCGCAGTGCGCGACTGGTGTGGTCCGTGCAAGGGTAATTCATGAGGTGCATCTGCTTGTATTGGGCACCAACCTTGAGCAATAGAGCCTAGCAACTGCACGGCGATACGGTTCGAGAAGACCACGACATTGTAGTTTCGTAGACAGCTCCACTTCAAGGCAGCTTCTTGGCAGCCGAACGTATACAGCGAGCGATGCGACCACGCGTTGCGATCGTCTAGCACTGACTCCTCCTAAACTACCACCACGAAGGGCGCACTCTTTTGCCTACTAGCACCTGCCGTGGGTTCGATTGGCTCGAGCAGCTCACGACCAAGACACTGCGATCCTGTACACGGTGGACCACCATTTTTGCTCGGCCGTCGCGTCCGTACTAACCGCAGCCTCGAACCGCTTTGCCGCTTCTCTGCAAAGCCATGAGCCATGCGTTCAACCAAAGCGGGGCAACAGGCTCGTGCGGCTCACTTTGCACCGAGTCTTCTCACCCTTCTTCATCTTCTTCTACATCTTCTCAGGGACGGCACAGTAGAAGACGGTTTACTCGCCCACCTACCACTCTCATGCGCGCGGTCGCAGCGCTCTGTGCTGGCAGCGCGCCATTGCTTTCAGGCTGTCCATCGACGCGCTCTTCTCCACGAGTCGGCAACCTGACGCAGAGACGTGTTGTTGCTTTGGGTACCTTTGGGCGCGGATGACGCAGTCACAATGCCGCCGTCGTAATCATTCATATCTTGGGATTTGTATCCGCATACTAGAATTTATAGCGACGATATCCAACAGAGGAGCCAATCAGAGGCCGGCGAGCTGCGTTATGGCAATTTCATAACCAAAACGGACCTTCGTCGGTCGCTTGCAGCAGCATGATGGCTCTCGCCTCCGAGGACGTGACGTGCGCCGTGTGTCTTGAGCCCTTCGCGTCGCCCGTCTCGCTCTACTGCGGCCACAGCTTTGACCGGTACGCGGCGTCCGCGACGCTGTGCGTCTTACTTTACTGTGTAGCGAGTGCTTGCTCGAGCTTGTGGGCAGCCCCTGCCCCATCTGCCGCCAGTCGCTGGTCCTCGCCAACGTTGCGCTCCAGCCCAAGAACTCGCTGATTCAGCAGGCCGTGCGAGCGTTCTTTTCTTCCAATGCAATGGGTCGCGTGCTCGTCGAGGCGCGCGAAGCCGACCACGAAGAGCGCCGCGTCGCGCGTCTCGCAGCCCCGAAACCGGTCGTGCGCAGCACAAGCAGTGGCCGCCGGTCGCCGACGCCGGACGTCAGCGTGAGCTGGGGCAGCGTCGTCTTCTTCCAGGCGCTTTCGTTTCCGTGGGACGCGGTCTTTGGGCCCGCGGGCCTCGACGACGAGGACGAGACGCCCGAGTCGTGCGCGCTGAGCTGGTCGGTTGTATTTATGTTTGTGTGCTGCTTTCTGCTCTCCCAGGTACGGCGCGTTTCTTCCTCCTTCTCAACAAGAAATAGCTTCGACTAACTCGTATCATTTTGGTTAGATGATGACGTACATCCTTGATATTTAAGCGACAAAAAATATAAACCAAACGACGCAGACGTGTTATTGTTGATGTGAGTTATTCACATGCCAAATGTAATCATGAAAATGGCGGGCTTCCTAATGCGCTAATGAGAGAGGTCGGTGCGTCAAGCCGAGGGCGCTTGGTCGAAGAGTTCATGCGGAGAGCATTGAGCGACTCGGCAAGCGATTGCACCACGGCGCGACGAGCCAAGTGCCGAACATGCAATCGCGTAGTGGTAGCTGCCTTGATCGCAAGCTGCAGGAAGGTGCGTGCGGAACACAATGTTGTTGCGGTCAAGCCAAAGACTGTATCAGACGCAAGCGCATGAGATCGGCCAGAGGGCACGGATGGACGACTAACTTATGGTCGGAGAATGGATTATGATCATAAAGGAAGCCGGCAACCGGTGACGGCCGTTGCATTCGCCAGATATCTCGCGTCGAATCAAACCAGACCACAGGGACTTATGCACAGCGCAGACGCGTGCTATGCTATCGCTCGTAGTAGTTACGATATGCGGACAGTCACAGTGGAGTTGGCGCCAGTTGTAGCTCACGCACACCACAGTACGGGACTGCAAAGCCATTGCTGGACTACCAAGCTTGCTCTCCATGTTGGTGCTATCCAAGGCCAACAACCGAAGACAAGTCAAGGCGTCTTGTGCTATCAGATATTAGACGTTCGACACGAGAAACAGGAACCAAATAGTCCTATTCACTAACGTCACTGGCACTTTTGGCTTTTCGTGGGCACGTCATTGGACGACGGGTAATGTCTCCATGCACCCGCCTCTACGCCTGCGTAGTGTTTGTAGTCAGTCGCCTTGTTGCCAGCTCGATTGCGTTCAGAGACACAAGAGCAACCTGCAAGCAAGATTGAATGCGGAGTCGCTTCCGTTGGCGCGGCGACCGCCGGAGACGTCAACAACGCGGCAGCTCAAAGCGGCGCATCCACGGCGACACATGCTCCCACTGCGCCAGCAAGCAGAGCGTAGGAGGGAAAAGCAGCGATTGATTTACGCGACTGCCTTTCGTCCAGCGCTGGTTTCCTCAAGAGAGTCGCACAGCAGGTGTTGTTTGTTGGTCTTTTGCAGCAGTTGTTGGCTACGTACGCTACGTGCGGTACACTGTAGTTGTCAGCAGAGATCCGCTAGACCATTTCGCACCCAGCGCTACGGCAAGCTTCAAGGATCGGCTTGCATTGCCCACTCGGCACTCTTCTCGCTTTGATGTTCTTGTTCGAATGGCAAAGTGTTTCCTTGGCGCGAATGGCCGCTAGCGCTAGAGTCTTCGACCAGACGACACCCACGTCTGCCTAACGCACACCCAAACGCATCGCAAGATACGGTCCATCGGCATACCTTCAGGCCCAAGGGGATGCTCCAAGGCGATTCCGCATTGCCACGTTGGCCGTCCGTCTCTTGCGCAATGGATACGTCCGAACGTAGCTTGTGATATCTGTGATCGACGCGTTGTCGTTGCTGCTTTGCATCCGAAAAGGCGAGGCTGTTCAAGCGGCTTTGTAAATCTTAGTCGTCTTATCGTGCTGGCCCGATAACAAGTAGCCAGAGAGTCCGCGTGCGCTTGCCGTGTTGACATGGCTTTGTTGACGTTTGCATCGTGGACCAGCTTCCGCAGCTGCGCCATCCATCGTCGAGCCAGTGGTCGCCTTGGTCGTGTGATTTTCAAAGAGGTACGAACTCGCAATTCACTACGTTTTTTCAGCCAGGGAATAGGTTATTCCCTTGGTTGTCAGTGACGAGGACGGCGCCACAAACCGAGTTGAGACCACATGGTTTCACGCAATTTAAGTCCCGTCCTTGGATAATGCAGTCGTCGGTACCGCGATCGGACGATGTCGTTTGTGGTCTCGCGGGGGCGGACACGACTGTTGATTTGCAGCAAGGTCAGCGCCGTTGTCGCCTGTATGCGCCCAGGACGCTGGACAGGCGCAGACAATATTTCAAACGCGTCGGGTCAGTGTGGTATCCTTGCCGTTAGCCTAGTGCTTCGGGCTTCAAGCAACGGCTTACAGCACACCACATGTTGCACAAATGGGTGGTCGATCTCCGCCCGCAGTTGGATCCAAGCACCTACGTTCTCGATGACCTGTCCACTCTCTCCTTCCTATCGTAGCTACCTGCGATTGCACCACGTTTACTCGCGAACGATAGATCAAGTCGCTCGACTGGACTGCGCGCCACCCATGCTACTCACGTACCCTTCTGACGACCTAGACTCACTTTTCAATTGTCTATATTCATTGCATCATGCTCGGCTCGTCGGGCGTGGTGCTGTTCTCGGCCGTCGACTTGGCCCACGCCCAAGCCGCGCGCTCGATGCGGCGAGGCGCTTCGTTCGCCGACTCCGCCTCGTGCCGTCGCCCGGTTGCAACGAGCCTTGCACGCACGGATTACACGTCCGACTCGCGCACCGAGTATGAGCTCGTACAAGACGCTGCTTCGATCCCACCCATGCTCCAAGCCGAACCGTCACCACCGCCCCGCCCCCGCACCATAAACTTTAGCATCCAAGAGTCGGACGCCACCAAGCTCGTTGTGAGCGGTCGGGCGATTCTACTCGGTGCGATCCTCGGTGTCGGCCTTGGCTTTCTCGTTTCGCGCGTGCCACTTCTCAAGACTCACCTCTCGATCTGGGTCGCTCTGCCCGGTGATTTGTTTGTGCGTGCACTGCGCTGCCTTGTCGTGCCCATGGTCTTTACGGGCATCACAGTGGCGATTGCCGACGCCGTTGACAAGGGCAAGGCATCCGTGCTCGGGCTGCGGACACTCGGTTTGTTTGCCCTCTCGAGCGGTCTCTCGACGGCGCTCGGTCTCGGCGTCGCGCTTCTCTTTCAGCCTCTCTTTGTCGGTGTCGCGCCAGCGGCGTCCGCGCCCATGTCGCCGGCGCTCGCGTTCAAGTGCCACAATGGTTTGTATCTCGAGATGGCGGTGAATGGATCTGTAAGCTGCACGTCGTCGGCACCGTCGACGTTTGAAGTCGCCGACGTGAACGATGCCATGCTGTCCCGTGGCTTTCTCAACACGAACGACGTGACAAGCATGACGACGCAGCTGCTGCGGATGGTGGAGCTCCTCGTGACCGACAATATCTTCCACGCTTTCGCCGAGGGCACGCTGCTGAGCATCATCATGTTCGCATTGCCACTCGGCGTCGCAATCGTGCGCAGCCACCACGATCGCTCGCGGGGGGGCACCCCGCCCCCCAACCCCCTCTTGCAACTGTTTCGCCAAACGCGAAATGCGTTTTTGGTCTTGGTGCACGCACTGCTTCGGCTCACGCCGCTTGCAATTGTGTTTTTGATCGGCGGTGCGATCGCAAGCCTCGACGCCAACACAGCGACGCTCAACCAAGTGCTTTTGGTCTTGGCGGCGTATGCGTCCGGCGTGGCTATCCACGCACTGCTCGTGCTGCCCCTCCTCCTCTTTGTCTTGACGTGGGTCAACCCCTTTGCGTTCATGCAGCATCTGCTCCCGTCGTATACGTTTGCGTTTGGCTGCGCCTCGTCGATGGCGACGCTACCGATCGCACTCGCCGACCTCCAAGCGACGCGATCGACGCCCAATTCGCTCGCGTCGCTCGTCATGGCCCTCGGTACGACCGTCAATATGAACGCTGCGGGGCTCTACTACCCGCTCATGACCGTCTTCTTGGCCGCGACGGGCTCCAGTGGCCCGGTGGACCTCTCGTCGTCGCAGCTCATTGTGCTCTTCTGCATGAGCTTGCTCGGTGCCATGGGCACCGCCCCCGTTCCAAACGCGGGTCTTGTCATGCTGCTGACGGTGTGGAAGACTGTGCTGCCGCATGCGTCGGTGCCGCCGTCGTTTGCGCTCGTCGTCGCCATGGACTTTCTCATTGACCGCATCTCGACAGCGCTCAACGTTCACGGCAATGTGATTGTCACGCGCATCGTGGCCGAGTACGTCGACGAAGCGGCGCTTGACGATTCAAGAACACACGACGTCGAACCGCGTCGTCTAGAGAATTTGTAGCATTTTTGTCGCGTTTTTGGCGCTATTTATCCCCGACTGTGTACACTCCCAAGGTCATAGTTATCCTTGACATTAAGATCATTGAACTGAAGCAACGGGACTTTAGTTTTGTAACCTGTTGTGACCGTTTCCGCCTTCAAACGCCAGACAAAGGGAGGCCGCACTCCCAAACACCGGCGTGTGTACTAAGAAGCAAAATGGAAACTAAAGCTAGCTGACTGCTGGAGCCCTGGCCACAGGCTCCTGTACAGTCCCATCCCAACGGTCTTCCCGTAGGACGATCTACTGATAGATTGATACAAACACATCGCCTTGTCTCGACCTAGTGGTTCGAGAGCTGTGTGGATATGAATATCCAGTGCTCAACCACTGTATGAGGCATCTACTGCCACACACCCCTCTCCCAAAGGATTTATAGGACAGCTTAGCCCAAATCCCAAGGAATCAAAGACCGCAAAAACAGACCCCGGAGAATCGCCGTCAGATTCTGTTCTTGATCTGGTCCAAGATCTTCAAGAGTTACCGTTGCACGGCCCGGAGGATCGCCGGGATCACGTACTAGGTAGCTTCTCTTGGTAGTCCGCACGTCACGACCGTCGTCGTGTCGACGCTGCAGACCGTTCTTCTAGTTGCTTGAGCTCATCAGCCAGACCATCCCGTGCTCGGGGGTCTGCGACTTGCTCCGCAAACTGTCGAGCAACCGCAGGGGCATCCGTCGCGATCGACGTGAACAGCTCCCACGATGCTTCGATGTCTTCCAGGCCTTCCCATAGGCAGAGGATCTCCCACCGCCGGGCACTCTGGTTGAGCCGTACTGCCTTGATCTCACGGATCTTCAAAAGCACGCCCTGCTCGGACACGTGCTCGCGGATCTCTTGCGTGAGCTCAAAGCTGCCTTCGGCGTACTAGTACGGCTTGAGGCGACTCGTATGTGCATGGCGCTCTTGACCCGAGATGATATGACGGATGACGCACGAGTACGTCGACACTTCCGTGATCTGGAACGGGCCGAGCCATGTGACGAGCAGCTTCGGATACTTTATCTTGTCCACGCGCGACCAGAGTACGTAGTCACCAACGTGGGCGACAAACTCTTCTTGGTGCGTCTTCGCCGCGGTCTCCCGCGCTAGGCGTTGTTGACGCAGGTCGTCGATCTTCTTGTGGACGTCAACCAAACTTGCATGAGCAGCAGCCATCGTGCTGACGACGTCTGGCTTTGTCCAGTCTGCCTGACGGACGAGCTCACCATCAAAGTCGCGGACCACAATGTCCAAGTTGGTAGCTGGCACGTGCCCCGTGAAAGCTTGTGTTGGGCACACACCACCAAGCGACTCGACTGGCGTCTGGTTGAGGTTGGCTTGAACCAGCGGTAGGAGATACTCCCACTGCTCAAGGTTCAGCATGCATGACCCGCAAAACTTGGAGAATATCGCGGTTCAAGCGCTCGACGGTACCGTTGCGCCATGGCGTGTAGGTCAAAATGAAATGGTGGTCGACCTTGTAGACTTGGGCCAGCATTGCAACCACTTGGTTCTTGAAGTGACTGCCTTGGTCCGACACCCACACGAGGGGCATGTCAAACCGCGCAGCCCACTGCATCAAAGCGTCCACGACCGAGGCCGCGTCCGCCATGTCACACGCCACGAGCTCGCAGTAGTGCGTCAAGTCGTCTTTGATCACAAGCACGTCGTTCGACACCAGAAACTCGTCACCTTGATCGACAACATAGCACGTCTGCAAACCAGGCACGTTGACGGGACCGGCAGCCGTGTGGAGCTGCAGATGCAATTGAACCTTCTTGTCCAGCTGCAACGCCGTCTTGCCCACATCCACCCCAAGCTGAGGTTGGTCCAAATTGATGACTTCAAGGTTGGGCATCTTCTGCTTGAGCTGCTCGACCATCTTGGCGGGAATGATGTTCAGACCGCAACCACTGTCCGGCACGCAAGGAACGTCAAGAACGCTGTTGAGCGTCAAAACCATGTGGCCTTCGTTGCCCGAAAGGAGCTGGTCGAGACCAGAGGCTCGGAGGCTACTCAACTTGGTCTTCTTCTTGTCACCGCCCCCGTTGCCTTCGTTGCCGCCTTGTTTGCTGCCGTCGCCGCCTCCGCCACGACGACCGCCCTTCCAGTTCTTCTTGACAGCAATCGCCTTCTGCTTGGCGTTTGAACTCGGGCAGTCCCGCAATTTGTGCTTCTTGCTGCCGCAGTGCCAGCACGGTCGTTCCGTGCCATCGTTCTTGCGTTCTTGTTGCACTGGCGGCTTGTTGTCCTTCTGCTTCAACTTGCGCTTCTTCTTCTTGCGCACACCTTGCTGCTCCTTGTGCGACGGTTTCTCGACTTCGCCGGACGACTCCTTGTCACGAAGACGCTTCGTCTTGGGGCTCCACGACTTGTAGAGAAGCGCTCGCTTGAAGATGATCTTCCCGAGGTGCTTGAGGCCAGCCTGTTTGTTGGCCGCCATCTTCTCATCCATCAGCTGCTTCACGTCCGTCTGTAGCTCTTGGGGACGGAGCCGATCGACAAGTGCCTTGAAGATCTTGGCCTTGAGCTTGTCGTTCTCGAGCTTCTCGCTGAGGCCATGCTCTTCAATCATTTGAGAGGCCTTGAAAACAAATCTGTTGACCCGCTCTTCGATGTCTTCTTCGTTGTGGTCGAGGGCGAGCGAGGTGAAAACCTTGTCGTATGTGAGCATCGTCTTGTTGGTCTCCTTGTCGATGATCCCGTTGATCGCTCCCCAAAGCTCGTTTTCAGGCACGTGCAGCAAGTTGTAGTCGTCCCAGAGGCCCCACTTGTTTTTCATCAGGAACTCGAGATACCCCACGGGAGAGAACGAGTCGCGGATCGGAACACACGTCGATGTGTAGCTCCGGTTCGTTCGCTGGCATTCGCGCCGCATCGAGGTCTCGTATTCGAGACGCGCCCGCTTCCACACGACCACGTCGCGGCGGGCGATGCCCTTGAACTCGGGATGCACCAGCTGCGACAGCACGACGACGCCGCTCATCGCCATCGCCGCTTGTCCTGAGGCCGTCATGTCTTCTTCTTGAGCGAAACCTGATCGCTGCTTGGTCGCCAAAGTCGACTTTGGACCGTTTCCGCCTTCAAACGCCAGACAAAGGGAGGCCGCACTCCCAAACACCGGCGTGTGTACTAAGAAGCAAAATGGAAACTAAAGCTAGCTGACTGCTGGAGCCCTGGCCACAGGCTCCTGTACAGTCCCATCCCAACGGTCTTCCCGTAGGACGATCTACTGATAGATTGATACAAACACATCGCCTTGTCTCGACCTAGTGGTTCGAGAGCTGTGTGGATATGAATATCCAATGCTCAACCACTGTATGAGGCATCTACTGCCACACCTGTTCACTATGTTTACTCATTAACCGACAAGCGTAAAGCGTATCTCTTGCGCCGTCGATGGCACGATGAGCGTGGTATGGCTGCGACTCGACTGGGGCATCGACCCTGCTACGCCACATGTGCTGATGCGCGTTGTTGGTGGCACTTGGTTGCAGGGCGATTAGCAAGCGTACTGGAAGACTCGAACCTGTTGTCGGACGCCCTCACAGTCAGCCCTATTCGTCGACGACGTGAACTGCGCCCAGTCGACGCTGCGAAGCGCCGCCTCCAGGTACAGCGCCCGTTTGACTGCATGACAGCTATAGCGCACCGCGCTTGGCGCGCCTGAGTGTGGGCGAGCTCCCACTGCCGCCTAAAATCGACATTGCACGGCTGCGTCATGGTTTGAAAAACTACCCAGAGAGGCATGTTGCGCAGCGCAGCAATGCCAGCGCGGACCGAGGTTTGGTGCAACGAGAGAAGAGCCCGAGGGTACGTCGTCTGCATCTCGAGTCTCGTGGAACGGCGTGTAGGACTGCAAGCACGCGCTGGACGTGTTCAAGACGTCGATCGAGCCTCGCACTGTCGTCCAGAGATGTCGACGGTAGAGCTCCAAGAGGTACGTTTGGGCGGCGAGGGAAAAACCAGCCCAAAAAAGGTCGTTCTGGAGGTATGGAAAGAGAATGGAGAGGTACCAGACGCCATCGAGAGCAGCAGGTAGGCGACCCCCACCAGACAAGAGACGCGCCGCATCGTGGTGTCAGTTCCAGCACAAGAAAGGGGTTACACGAACGAACACCTAGCCCTTTAGGGGTTGGTGTTTGGAGCTCCTACGTTTTGCATGCGCCCTCGGACGATTTCATGGAGAATCTCCACCTCTGGTGTTGGCACCCGTGGCGAGTGTATAGTATAAAGTGTTTAGTCTTGGAGTGTCTCGTGGGAGATGTTGAGGCTGCTACACAGAGTCATGCACGCCGCTGGCCTCGGGTGGCGATGCGTTGGCCTTGTGCTCGGCGTCGTACTCGCCCGCAAATGCATCCTAGACACTTTTGTGAAGCTGCTCCTAAGGTGAGCAGGCGCACCAGCGTCGTCGCAACCACGAGGTTCAAGAGCACCATGACGCTCGCCACGTAGTAGGCAACAAAGTACCAGCGCGCGTACTGTGATGTGACGCACACAAAGCCATCGGCGAGCGCCGACCAGTTGTTGACGACAAGCAACTCAAACAACAGCACGACGCCGCTTGCCATGTCGTTAAAGTTGTTGGCCCCATACCCGCTTGTCGTAAACGGACTTGTCGGACACTGCGCTTCGAGGACCTGGACTGAGATGCGCCCGCCAAAAAGGTGCATCCCAAAAGCCGCAAACAAGTACATGACCGAAGCCAAGAAGAGCATCAAGTGCTTGCACAACGGCAGGAGACGCAGCCACGTCAGGCACACCACGCGAAAGCTACGGTTTCATGCCACTTGATACATTGATAAGATACGCAAGGTCGGACGCACCGCTGGACGTTGAGGATGAGGCGGCATAAACGAAGGCAGCGCGCGACCAAGAGGATCTGGACGAGGGCGCGGGATGCTGCATAAGCGGACGAGAGCGCGTAGATGTCGACGGTTGCCATGGCAATCGTAAGGATAGCGTCGAATCGGTGCTTGAGGGACGCCCAGTACGTGGCGCGCCCATAGACGAGCACCTTGACGATCATTTCGACGACGTAGACGAGTGAGAAGACGCCTTCGACGCGCTCCCAAAAGCAAAATTCCGTCTCGATGGGCACAGTGGCATCGCCGTTCAGCACGGGAAACGACTCGAGGACGATCACGACCGCGTTGATGACGAGCAGCGTGTCGACGAACGTGTCCAAGCGCGCATCGCACACCAAGCGCGCGAGCTTTTGGAACGGCGCGCTGTAGTAGAGGCGCGGACAGTAGCGTTGTAGTTCGGGTGGGGGCAACGTGCGCGTCGCCAGTGCTGTGTGAAAGACACTGCAGAGTCGTGCAAACTCGGGCCAGCTCAGCTGGTCGTCTTGTGCGATATCGAGGGTGGCAAAGAGGGTCTTCATCTTGTCGTGTTTGAGGTACGGGATGTTCTTGTAATGGTTGAGCGTCTCGAAGAGGCGGAGGCACGTGGCTTTGGGAATCGCCGCGCCGATCGGCGGCGTCCAGTCGTCGTGCCGGTGGGCCCACAGCTCTGTGCTCGAGTAGTTCGTCGGCGCGCGCTGGCCGTCGACATGGCAGAGCAGTTGAAACGCGACCTGCAGCTTGGATACTTGGACTCGTCGGCGCTTTCTCTTGAAGGCTGCGAGCTGTCGCGTGAACGCTGTGTACGTCACCGCAAGGACGACGTTGAGGAGGAAGAAGAGTCCAAAGCAGAGAAAGAAGACGAAGAAGAGGACCGAGCTGCGCTGCGTCGAATACGCGGGCATGAAGACATCGGGAAAGTTGGCGGTTGTGAGCAAGACAAAGAGGTTCCAGCTCGCTTCGTAGATGTTGCCAAGGTACAGGGTGCCTAGCGAGATGTTGTCAAGCCTTGCTTTGATTCGCTTGGGCTGAAGACCGGGACAGTACCTTCGGTTGTATGGTGAAAGAGCACTGTCGCGACCCAGCTGCAAAACGCCACGTACACGAAAATGAGGACCAGCGCGTGCTGCACCTCGTTCAAAACAGCGTAGATCTTGCGCGCCGTGCGCCGCAGACTGCGGTTCTTGGTCGCAGCGATCGCGCCGCGCAGATAGACTTGGAGCGGCCGAAGCATCGGCAACGTTTCGCTCGCCACGAGAGTGAGTGCAGCCACAAGCAGCAAGAGCAGCACTGCCACGCTACATTGCAGTAATCCTAGGCAAGAACTCTACGATACTGAGCACGGACCTGTCGCGGCGGCCGGCGAAGAAGCTCTCGCGCAGGTACAGGTACCGCAGCATCGAGTTGGCGAGCAGCAGTAGGAGGCACGCCGCTTCGAGCAAAACGCTTTGGGTGCGAGGTAGCATTGGGAGGCCAAAGGTCACTGGCGTCGCGTCGTCGTCCGGGTCGCCGCACGAGGCGCCGCACCACGCCGGCACTTCAACAAACGAGATGCTGACAAGGAGGAGCAGCGCGAGGCCTCGGACGTAGTGCAGCTCGGCGTAGAGCGTGTACAGGCGGCGCGCAACGGCGCCTTGGACTGGATGCGGCCGCGCGACGCCACTGAAGGCGTCCTCGACGAACCAACTGGCCGTCGCCAGCGTCGCAGCGTCCAAGGCCATCCTCGATGATGTGCCAAGGATGCGCATCCGGAACGTACGGTATATCCGGATTCCGAAGACGATGTGGCCGACCAGCTGCACGCAGACGCTGCCACGTGGGCACGTGTGTGTTTCGTCGACGAGTTGCAGCTCGTCTCGTGGAGGGACCGAGCTGCCGCGGCCGCTGCGCCCCACTGCACATGCGGGCAGCTGGAAATGTACTAGCGGACCGAGGTCGGCAACTTGGTCACTGCAACACCTTGTATGGTGATGGTTGCTCACAGGAAGAACCAAATACATTGTCTCAGGAGACAATGTATTTGGTTCTTCCTGTCTGCGTGTGCACGAGCTAGTGCCGTCGACACGTCGGGAAGGAGACGCCGCTACGATCCCGAAGCTCGTCCACCACCGTTTGATCCAGCCCGAGTAGAGTAAAGAATTAACTCGATACATGAATATATCACTATTCCATTCAACACATTGATGGATTATCCGAGGGCTGCTCGAGTAAAAGGTCGAGGACGCCACCGTCCTTTGCGAGGTTGTAGAATACACTGCCAGCGTCCTGGACGAGCGCCTTGGGGGCGCCAAACGCGACGGCCTCGCCCGCTTCGAGCACGAGCACGCGGTCCGAGTGGACGACGGTGTGCAGCCGGTGGGCGATCGTGAGGACCGTCGCGTCCTTGAAGGCACTTGCAATGACCTCCTGGAGGTGCAGGTCCGTCGCGTGGTCGATCGCGGCCGTCGCTTCGTCGAGGACAACGACACGTGCTTGCGCGAGGAGGGCCCGCGCCAAGCACAGCATTTGGCGCTCGCCGACGCTCCAGTTGGCACCGGCTTCGTCGTCGAGCGACGCGACGGGCAGCTGCACTTTGCGCAGTGCGTCGTACAAGGCAGCATCGGTTTCTGCCTCGAATGGATCCAAGTACGCGCGCAGCGAGCCTTTGAAAAGGACGGGGTTTTGCGGAATGATCGAGATCTGGCGGCGCAGTGCGGGCAGCGAGAGAGATGCAATGTCGCGGCCGTCGATGCAAATGGCGCCCGACACGAGCGGGTATAGTCGGAAGAGCGCCATGGTCAGACTTGACTTGCCGGCGCCCGTGCGGCCGACAATGCCAATCTTCTCGCCGGCCACAATCTCCAACGAGAGGTCGCGAAGCACCAAGTCGGTCGTTGGCTTGTACCGGAAGCTGACGTGCTTGAACGAAATGGCACCGCGCGCGAGGTGCCAGTCATCGCTGACAACAAGCGATGACGAGGGCGCGTCGGCTTCGGACGTCAACCCGCAAAATTCGAGCACGCGTTCGGGAGCGACCATGCTGAGCTCGAGGCGCGACCAGCTCTGGACGAGGTCGGCCAGGTACGCGTTGGCCACGAGAATGTAGTTGAACGCAAGACCGACGATACCGGCCGAGAGGTACGGCCGCAAATAGACAAGGCTGAGGACGACGATCATGACGACGCCCGTGCCAGCAAGCTGCACCATGAGCTCAAACCACTGATCGACGATAACCTTGGCGAGCCCGACGCGTGCATTCATATCAACGTGATGGGCGTGGCGGTCGACTTGCTTGGCCAAGTACGCGGCACCAAAGGCGCGGACCGACACGAACCCTAACCCGCCAACGTGAGCCGTGGTTGTCGACGCATGGACTGTACCGTGTTCGATCTCATCGAGGAAGCTCAGCACGGGCGACGACGTGATCTTGGCGAGCCGAGCAAGGTCGCGGGACGGCCGCAGGTACATCGCAGTGAGCTTGAAGTAGAGCACAAAGATCGGGATGAAGCAAAGGCCGGCCCATTGCACCTACATCCGATTTCAGATCGCCTGCAAACACTACGTTCTACGAGGTACCACAAAGATGGAGGTGGCCAATGACGCAATGAGTACCGCTGCGACCGCCGAGAAGGAGCCAAAGTTGACCGGCAGTCGCGTGTCGATGGTCGCCACATCGTCGCCGTACCGGTTGATGATGCGGCCGCTCGGTGTTGCGTCAAAGAATCGCATCGGCGCCGCCAAAAGCGACGTCGTCATGGTCTCAAAGAGGTGTTTCGAGGCGCGGAGACCCGCTCTCGCGACCGTGATCGTGCGGAAGAGCACCATGAGAACGCTCGCCAAACAGAGACCGCCGTAGATACCAAGGTAGTACGATGCATCGTCCTTCTCCGTGGCTACGACGGTCGACGTCCAGTGGCTGAGCCAAAAGTCGCTCGCGACCTGGAAGGCTTGCCAGAGCAGCTGACAGGCAACGACGACCGCGATCGTCGGGCCGCCGCCGCACGCGGCCAGAAAGCGGCGAAACACGTCACCCGCGACCTGGCCTTCTTCGCGGTGTTCGTCTTCTTGGGATTCGGCCTTGTCGTCGTCGTCATCGATCGCGTCGTTAAAGTACGCGTCCCAGCGGTCGTTGGCGGCCACCGCCACCTCGACCGACGCGTGCTGGATCGTCGCGGGCGGCGCCGGCGGCTTGCGCTGCACGTGCGCGACGATACCACCGTTGTCCATCTCGATCACTTGGTGGACGTGCACCGAGTCGATGATGTCGCGGTTGTGCGTCACAAGAACGACCGTCTTGGTTGCGAGAAGCGACAGAATACACTTGGTCTAGGTCCACATAGTTAGCACCTCGTAGTAGCAAAGCATCGAGAGGACGTACAAAGATCTCTTTCTGAACGACGGCGTCGATGGCGGCCAAGGGTGCGTCCAAAAGAAGAATGTCCGCGTCGCTGTAGACCGCACGAGCAAGCCCGAGACGCGCCTTCTGGCCACCGCTGAGGTTGGCGCCCTTGGAGCTTGCGAGCGTGCCGTCGCCAAATTTCATTTGCTCGAAGTCGGCAACAAGGCCACACGCATCGACGACGGCTGCGTACCGAGAGGCGTCCAGCGGGCGGCCAAAGAGGATGTTGTCGCGAAGACTCATGTGCTGGATCCACGGTTCTTGCGGGCAGTAGCCAATGCGACCGTTGACAGCCATGCGCCCCGAGAGAGCATGCATCTCGCCGAGAAGCGCCATGCAGAGTGACGACTTGCCACTGCCGACCTTGCCGTGCACGACGACCAAGTCCCCGCGGCGAATGCTCACGTGGAGCTTGGCGAGATGGACGGTCGCATTGTCCCACGACGCATCAATGCCTTCCATGGCCAGCACCATCTACGTGGCATGTGATTCAGTCCACAGGAAGAAGCCAAGCTGTACATACCTCCGGAGCCGTGGACAACACGGGCGGCGGCAACGGCTTGTCGGGCTGGCTGAGAAACTCGCCGATGCGGCGAATCGCGGTCCACGCTTCGATGATCCCCGTGACGTTGTCCGGCGTTTGGTTCATTGGCTCTTGCAGCATGCGGAAGAGGGCAATGGACGTAAAGACCTTGGCCGGCGTCAGCGTGTGTCCCAGCACGAGCGTGTAGCAGACAAACGAGGCCACCGAGACGGCGAGCGGCGCGGCGTACATGCAAAAGATGCCAAACGCCTCGGTGCGCACGAGTTGCCACACATAGAGTAGCTCTAGACAAGCATTGGAATAGGCGAAGGAGGTAGTAGTAAGCGTACCGGTGCCGCGAAGGATGGCGAGCTTCTCCGCAACCTGGCGCTCCCACGCCTGGAGCTTGACAATAAGAACTGAGCCAAAGGTCTCCTTGACAGCCTTCATGCGCACGTCGCGGGCCGTGCTGACGTTGTCGTAGGCGGTGCCGACCACTGTCGAGATGTACCCGCCGACGAGCATGGACACGACAATGACGGCGATGCCGGCAAAGACGGCGAGGCCAATCTCTTGGTAGAGGAGGTAGACAATGCTCACAATCTGGCACGGGAGGATCCATACGCCGAGAAGCGAGAGGAGACCCCACTCGATCGTGCCGAGGTCGGCTGTGTAAATGTTGGCGAGCTCGGGTACGTTGTCGTTGGCGACGAGGCTGCGTCGCTGGAGCTTCTGGAACAAGAGGCCTTTTAGACCTGATGTAAACCTACATAAACAATCTCAAAAGTGCAATCTCAAAAGTGCAATCTCAAAGAACGTACCGCACCAACGTGGTTTCTTCGAGGACGGCGCAGTGCGCGAGCAAAAAGGCATGCGACGTCATCGAGAGACAGAGAAGACCGACCCAGTGGTACAATGTTGACGGCGCGTCGACAGCGCCGACGACCTTGTTGAGCACGATGGGCCCGACGAGCTCGAGAAGGCGGAGGAGCAAGTCGAGGAGTGCCATAAGAAAGTACGACCCGCCGTAGGCCCGCAAAAAGGCTTTGACGACCGACGATGACTCGGCGTAGGCCGCCGCGAGCGGCGCCGAGTTGGTTGCGCACGTCGTCTCGGGCGCAAGGTGCCACACGTCGTCAAGGTTGAGCTGGCGCGGCGTGCGAATGAGCGGCAGCGCCCAGCCAAAGTAGGCGCGCGAAAAGGCGTTGGCCGACGCGGCCGGGTGCGTCGCCGGTGGCGTGCCAAAGGTGGCGTACTTGGCAGTTGTGGTCGCCATGGTGCGAGACGGATTCTGGCTCGACGTTGCAGTCGGAAGCAGTCTGTCTGATGCATATCACGCGGTGGACCAACGAAAGAACGTCCGCGGAACGTTTGGTTGGATGCAGGAGCCACCTACATTCTGAATTGACCATCACTTACAGCGTGTTTGAGTGGGGAAAGGTCAACTCGTGGCCTTGGCCTGTGATTCAAATGCATAGACTTGGCTTTATAACTCTGCGGCGGTGCACAGTTCCATTTGCACGTAAGAATATCCTGTAAATTAAGCTGTAATGACATCGTTGGGATCTTGATCGGGTGGCCATTTTTGTGTTGACACCCATGCCAAACCACCCAGCATTCATGTTTCCCCTCTAAAAGGCAAGTCTTGACTCGAGGTAATACACCGCCCAGGATATATATCCTTGGCCAGCTCCGATGGCTACTCCATTCTGTACCTCGTTGCTGGTGTAGTGGATTAAATTCTTGAAGACATGATCCAAAGGTCTGATTTCGCATTAATTCAAGCGGATCGCGTCGAGTCCTACACTATTTCCGGTAAACTAGCCTAGGCTACGAGTCCATGGACCAAGAAGGCTTGTCACAGAGGGGCGTCGAGCATCGTGGCAGCGCGGTGTCAAGGAAACCTCCTTGACCAGGAGGACTGAGTGAGGATGTGTACTGTAGCGTAAAAGACTGTGGAAAACCTTGTCCTGGAAGGACTGAGAACAAGAAATCGAATTCCGGGATCTGCGATATGCCCACACCCAGGACAAGCGCGAACCTCGCGACACGAGCGATCCATGACGTCAGATAATCGTAAGCTACATACTGTCAAGTGCTCGTACTATACAAGTTTCGCTCGAACACGACGGCTGCGCAGGACTGAGCACGGCGTGATGACGTGGCAGCTCCTGGCCTCGGTTCGTGCCGCCTGTTTATTGGCTGAAAAGCCGTAGAATTCCAGTGCAGCAGCTGTTTGATGGGCAGACGTATAGTCATTCCAGTGCGAACCTCTGGGAAGCTGCCAGCACATGGCCCCACTTCTGTGGTCACGACGTCCTGTCTTTGAATGGACGAGGGGCATTACGCCGATGAAAATGGAGCCGAAACGTAATGCTCTAGGCGTAATGGTTTCGTCAGGTGGACACCATGACTACATCCTGCCCAATCGAGCTCGACGCTTTGTGGTACAGCGGCGCTGGATCTCTCACTCGAGTGGCGTACGTGCTCCGCCATCCATTTGATCGGGGCACGCACCTGCGTCGTCCCAAGAGTGCGCACGTCAAGACCGTACATGTGCAGTGTTTTTCTTTAAAAATGATGGATTTGTTTGTGAGGTTACGTAGACTAACTAAAACTAGTGACACAGGAGGAGGGTCGCCATAGCGCGCCTAGTACTTGTAGAAGGTCGTGTTGGTGAAGACGACTTCCTGGAACTTGGCCGGGCAGAGCGGGAAGAGGATCTTGGGGTCGACGGTAGCCGGCGCGAAGAGCTCCTTGCCCGTGTTGATCGAGACGTACACGCCGAGGCAGGCCGAGATGACCATGATGATCATCGAGATGACCTTGGTCGGGAGCGACACGGTCGGCCAGAACGTCTTGAGGTAGAACGTGAGCGGCAGAATTTGGTTGACGATAGTCGAGGTCGACGCGCCGACAAAGTCCATGAGCGCACCAAGGTGATCCTTCCAAATGACGGCGACGACGCAGCAGAAGGCAATCATGACGATGCGGAGGATGCACACCTTGAGGTACGCGCCCGGCGCCTTGTACGCAGCCGTCGGGTCCACGAGGTGCATCGCCTTCATCTCGCCCTTCGAGTCGAGGTAGTGGCCGGGGGCAACACCGTCAATGGCCGGCGTTTCAATGTCGGCTTCGATCGCAAGCACTTCTTCCTTGTGCAGGCCAAGGACGAGGCGCTCGAGGATCTGGAAGACGGGGAAGAAGATGACCGAGAAGGCAATCGTCACGTGGAGCTGCATGAACATGAAGGCGAGGATGACGAGGCCGCGGTCCGCCGTAAAGCCGAGCGTCGTGCCCGAGATCGAGAAGAGGAGGTTACCGGGCGTCTGGCAGCCCGTCGAGAAGACACCGAGGAGCGACACGAGGAGGAAGAAGACCGAAATGATGGCCTGGGCGACGAGGATCACACGCGGCATGCGGTGCGGCTCCGTGTGCTCACGCTGGAGCGACGGCACAATGATGCAGCAGCCGTACGCGAGACCGAGGTTGCCAAACACCGTCGTGACCGACTCGAACGTGATCTCGGGCGTCGGCGGCGAGATGCCCGTCGGGTTGGTGTCGTGCATGTTGGTGATGACGAGGTAGCACGCAATACCGTCGGCGAGGATCGTACCGAGCGAGCCCGCGAGCGCCATGCCCGCGCCTTCCTTCATCGTCGGGACGAGGCACACCGGGAGCAGCGTGACCGCCATCAAGACAATCCACGTGGCTTGGCCAAACGAGCTCGGAAAAAGAACGACGAGCATCGTGCCGCCGAGGACGAGGTAGACAATGGGAAGCATCGTGCAGAGAATGCTGTGCGCGAACGTCGAGATCCATCGGCCGGGCTTGCCGAGGCACCACTCGCCGAGGTCGCCGTACGTAAACACCGACGTCGGCGCGGCAAGAAGCACCTTGGAGATGCACCACGTGGCAAACGTGTTGGCGGACGCCATGTAGATGAAGCCGATGGACGCGGCAAAGTACCCGGCGCGGGCGTAGTTGCCGGCGAGACCCAACGAGCCGACGCCGCAGACGCAGCAGAAGAGCGAGAAGCACATCTTCATATCTTCAGAGGTGAGGAATGTCATGGGGCGCGGAGTCGTCGTCAAGTACTGGGAGAGGAGGAGGTGTGCGTCGCCGATGGCAAATTGAAAAGTGAGGTTGTTGGCGATGAACCAAAAACGGCGAGAGATTGAAGTACAACTGGCACGCCGTGTACCAGATGGGTCCACGAAACTCACTGGCTAGCCCGCGTCGCCGGCAAGCGCACATATCGCAGCCGTCGTGATTACAAGTCATAGCGCAGCGAAGCTCTTGAAGGTATCCAAACAGCTGTTAAGTGCTAGTGTGGGATAGTTGGCCACCCGGCCTGCGACACAACCTCTGGGATCGAAAGACCCTTCTTCGGCCACAGTCGACGGGATGCGCTGTGTTCTAAAATGGAAGGTAACTCGTGAATGACCGCTCGCGCGTCGGCCAGCTTTGCTGCGAGGTACGCGTCGCGACGCCAGCAAGACCGCCCCTCAGCAGTAGAATCAGGCGACCAGGGTTATCATTTCTGATTTTATTTAAATGCATGAGGGTGCAATGAAAACACTCGTTCATCTGCGACTGGCGCTGTTTGTGATGTAAGTACCTCTTGTGGTCGGCTCGGACACGGCGAGCACCGGCATTCGATAGTGAGTCTTCACTCGCCCAGGTCGACAGCTTGTGGTGGCAACACAGTAAAGTACGTGGGCTCTAGAGTAGGCAAAGGCGTCGTCGTCAAGGCCTGACATGTTATCGCAGCGCCCACTCAGAAACGGACGACGTACACATAAAACATCTGGCAACTGGCCAAATGACGCGACTGGCTGGAAAATGACCCATTTACCCAGGGTTTGACCCAATGTTTGACCTGCTATTTGCGGGGTAGTCAGGAAGCGCAAGGATAAAGTTGTGCTGCTGTTGAAGCGTGCTCCTTCTCACCACACGTTTACGTGGCAAGCGTAGCCTAGTTTCTATCGACGACAGCGCGCGTCAAAGGGCGAAGCATCCAGTTTTCTCCGTCGCGTGGTGCGCATTTATGAGTCCTCGGCATCACGGACAAGCTCACGAGCGACGCCGAATCCTCTCGCATGCGTGTTCCCGACCCACAAAGAAGTGTGATCTTATCGATTCTTATCCCAAGAGCTTCGACAACCAAGTGCCTCGCGACAGCTTGAGGGCACGCAGGACGATTCGTTCTCTTGTCCGAAGCGCTTTCGATGGCCATCCGCGTCATCAGATCGCGGCATCGTCGCGCCATGCCTGAATCTGGTCCTGAGGATACGAACTCGTCGATAGCTTCTGAGCAGGACGACGCGCATGTTGGGAGTAGAGTGGCAGCGCTCGTTGATGGTGGGACGACTCGATGGGACGGCCCGCGGCTTCCGATCGCCCGAGTATCTTTCGACGTCAGCATGTGGTGCGCATGTTCCCACTCTAAATCCAGTACTGAACGGGTCTACAGCATCCCACGCTCGTGGAGCGAGGCAATCTCCAACGCATCGTGCAGATCATCTCGGTATCGCTCATCTCCATTGCGTCCGCTCGTCTCCACGGCGCGTGTATCGCATGCGAGCGCCTTGTAGCGCAATTGAGATGCGACGAGCAGTGTGCTGTATACACCCGTCGACCCGATGCATGCCTTGAAGCGGCCTCTTGAAGGTCTGCCAGAGGGGCGGCAGAAGAGACACGTGATGGGTTCGATGCAGCAATCGCTCGACGCCGACGGGCTTCTTTTGCACTTGCAGCACCCAACGCGGCGCCTTATCCAGTCACGAACCCAAGACTGCCTGTCGTCATATTGTATGCAAGCTTGAAGTTGCCTCCGACAGCTTCTACGTCAACGCGATAGGAACCTGCCCATCGACATTTCCGCGCGCTGCTGCAAGCACTGCTACGTATACACCAACAGCGCGCGCACGTTTATCCCGCGCCGTTTGCCTTCGTGACCTACACTCTTACAAAATGACGTGGCAACATTGCGTGTGGCCAGTCACCGAGCACTCGAACGGGAGGGCCCAATAGTGATGAAAGACGTTGTAGCTATTAAACTTGGATGCAGACAATATGTCCCGTGGAGAATAATACGCTGGGATAATTCGCAGCTCGTGGCGAAAACACGGTTGATGTGGTGCAGCTCTTTTCTTGTTGGTTGAAATTTGGTGTTGGTGAGGACAAGAGTCAATGGTGGGGCTATAATTATTTGGTAGAGCAATGTCCATTGTACGCCAGCAACAACGATGCACAGATAAAACTACAGACCAGGTAGTGTCGCTGAAATGCAACCTTGAATGCATCAACGAGCAGATCCAAGACGATCCAAGTCCGCGATGAATTCGCAGC